CCCACCCTGGTCGGGGTCCATAATTGAACTGATATCCACAGAGCCCCTCAACGCGGGCCCGAAAACCAGTACGATGGCCCCACGATACACCGACCGCAGCCCTGTCGTACCCACGGCCGACGCCACACCGATCCTCGCCCACACAATGGAGTACCTTCCGCGTACTGACATGATTTATAGCGTCATGCACCGAGCCATGCCTAGAGCCATGTCCGAGATCTTCGTCGCCCAGACAAGTCGTTGTTGCGATACCAGAGGCGTCATCGCGACTCACCTGTTCACGTACCAGTCTGGCTGTAGTACAACACGAGTACTACACTCGGCGTACCAAAACATCATACCCATGGTCGACACCACACCCATCGTCGCCCACATAAGCGACTACCAACGGAGGATCGAAACGCACAGCTCCTTCGACACAACCCTCTTACCCGAAGACCCCAGCCAGCCATTTGACTCCGAAGCCGCCGACCGAACCGAACATGAGCCCGAACCAGTCCCGGAGCCGTGGCCACCGGACTTGGCCCCACAGACCCAAGCATCCGTCGCCCAAACAAGCCATTGGTCCAACAAAAGAGACATCGTCGAGACCAGCCAGTTCATGCACCAGTCTGGAGACAATACCACCCAAGTGTTCCGCCAGAGCTACAAAACTACTCTACCCACGTCCAACGCCTCCCCGATCATCGCCCACATAAGCGATTACCACCGGAGCATCGATCCGTCAAGCACATTTGACAAACCCATCCTTCCGAAAAACCCGAATCAAACCTTTGACCCCGGAGCCACCGAACCCACCGAAGACGACCCAGAACTACCGACGGATCCTTGGCCACCCGACATAGCCCCGCAGATTCGAGAATGCCTGGACAAATAACGACCAAAGAAAACCGCCGAGAAAACCATCGTCATATGGGATAATCGACCCACCAAGCACCAACTACACCAACTACAAAGCACCCAGAACAGCAGAAAGGCCACGATCACAACCGCAGTAGAAAATATAACGTTACCGACGCCACGCTAAAGTGACGAGACTAACAGCGACGAATCCGGAGACTCGGCACAAGCCAAAGGACAGGATAACCCGGAAAAAGGCGAACCTCAGCACCCGCCAAGCGACGCCACAAATCTCTCCATCACCCACCCGGAAGAAAGGGGGGGGTGTAACGAACCATGGATCCCATGGTTCGTCACAAGCAGATGACGCAGCCAACGCTACTCCCAGGTGAAGCGATCAACACCCAGCAAAAATGCAAACTCAGCACACGCCAAAAGACAGGAGACCAGCAGAAGGGGCTTACGCAATAAGTACCTAAAATAATATTAAATAAATAAATATTCCTAACAATATATATTCCCGAAGTGCCAACGAAATTCCTTTCCCACGGTACCGGTGCACACCGATCACCTTACCTGGGACATTGGACACTTCTTGGGAGGCGATTGCTTAGGTAACCCTCGATTACCGGGCAAAACCCCCACATGCGCAAGCCAGTCAGCAGTCTCCGACTCTCCTTACCGGGGATATTGGACACTGACTGCAGGGCTAATGATTAGGTAACCTTCTGTTACCGATCAGCCTGTCTGCACGCGCAGACTATAATTCGGCAATATATATTTATGTAAGAACCATTCCCACATTCTGGAGTAGAAATAAGATATCTGTAAGACATTCATGGGAAAATCGAAGGCCGGCCGATCTATAAAAGGCACTGCCTTGCATGAAGAAAAGGGCAGTCCACCAGCCATCGTCGGAGGCAGTCCACCAGCCATCGTCGGAGGCAGTCAATCAGCCATCGTGGGAGTCAGTCAAAATCACCATCCGCGTCGTAGTACAAGTAAACCTAACATAACCGGGTAGAATAATCATACGGAAGAATACGGAAGAATAAAGAAAACCATTAAAAATTAAAAGAACCAAACAGTGTTGTGATTTCTATTTCAGTTTCTGGCAAAGTTCCTGGTTTCCCGATAAAGTCCTCGTGAATTATAAATGTCTTGTAATTCAGGACCCTGAACAGGGACTGATGCATACCTCAGCCTGAAATAGGACATTACAGTATATATAATTAACATTAACATTGTTATTAGTCCGATAATTAAGGCTGCGTGTCCCGATACATGATGGAACTTGAGTCCTTTTAATTCGTGATGACCTTCTTTTAACAATTTTAATTCATTTTTTAATTTATCAATTTCTTCCGTATGGTTGATTAATGGTATTGTTAATGGATTCCAAGCAATTTTTGGTATCTTACTTATATTACTTATATAAGAGGATGAGATTGTCTCATAGCTTTCTGTATGAAGACTGTGATGAGGTACTAATATCTTATCATCTGTTCGCACAGTACAGCCATTTATTATTGTTAAGATTCCTTGTTGAGGAAGATCAATTAGTTCTTGATTTGAGTTACTACATTGAATTCTGGCATTAGTGTTTACTGGAACTTTGAAGAGCCAACTACCTTTCTTTTCTAATTCGACCCAAAATGACCTGGTCTCTGCTACTTTTCTATAAACACAATTCGAATGACCTTTTGGTTTGAACGGAGTTATCTCACAAGCATTATCATTGGCGCTGCTCCAAGGCCAATTACCTTCACATACTCTTTTATTTGTCTGCCATTTTTGGCATTTATTCAAGGTAGCCTCAGTCATCGAATGATATGAATCAATTTCAAAATTATATACTAAATATTTTGAGCTCAAATCTACCTTTATTAATTCCTTTTCGTGTTCCACTGGTATTGGAATAATCCTAAACAAATGGGATGGGTGCCTACCGAACAGTGGGATCTTCACGTTCAGAATTAATTTGTTGTCTACGAAAATTCCCTTAGCGGTTAAAAGACTGTAAATTTCTTTTAATTCCGTTCCTGTTCTTTTTCCTGGAAGAACTAATGTTTCTAATAAACTATTTTTTATTTTGGTAATTTCCTTTTTCAACTGCATAGGTTTTAAGATATTAGGATTTAACCTACCATGATTAATATCTATTAATAGACTTATAACTGCTGATTGGATTTTCTCGCACTCATCAATCAAGGAGCTTAGCTGCTTTGATACCATAAAGAAGTTTATAGATTCCTTGTAAACATAGTAACTTTCCTTTAAAGCCTCCGTTATGTTTTCTACTCTCGTGTTCATGCTTCTAAAGTTTACATTTATTTCATCGGTTGTTCTTTTGAGAATATTTACCGTTGACTCTACTACTGAAGTTTGCCGTTTAATTAAATCGTCTAGATTATGCTGATTTTCTAGAAGATTTTTCATATTTCCTTCCAAAGCATCCCTATCTTCAGCGTCCATTATCCCAAACAATATATGATAAAGTGAGCCCATAAACTCAAATGGCGCTCGTTTCTTTCTCCTGTTATCCTGAGTCATAAAAAGTTTATTATTATCCTCTAAGTCTGCAATTTGTCTTTCAGTGTTATCTAAGACATTATTGCATTGATCTTCAAAAGTGTGAAGTTTACTGCACACGACTCTCATTTTCCCAATCAATTCTTTTCCCTTTTTAATCATTTGAAAATACGGGTCCATATTATAATACACAATTAGATCCCAAGATGAGGCGACTATTTCAACGTCTCCCATAGGGTCCAAATACATTGAATTGGAACTGTTCATTTTTTCTATCGACCACTTCCCTTGTCTTCTGGCAGCTATGTCTGCATTTGATACTTGGCAAAATAACATAAGGAATAACATTATTGCCATGAGTCCTAGCTTGGGTATTTGAGGTCTACCGCGAGAATATCTAGTTTCCTTTGGGGGCATTTCTGAGTCTTTTTCTTCAGACTCAATTCCAGCTAATGGACAAATTTTAGTAATAGGTCGTTTAATTGACCCGTCTTGATGTTTTATAGTCACTACTCGTACTTTATCGTCTTTACCTTTATGTATTTCTTCTATTTTTCCCAAAGGCCATCTAGCTGGGTGGCAGTTTTCATCTTTTATTAACACAATCTGCCCTTTTTTAATATTCTTCATTCTTATTTTCCATTTATTCCTTTGTTGCAGAGTATGTAAATAATCTTCCTTCCATTTAATCCAGAATTCTCTTTTCATTTTCTGAATTAATTTCCACCTATCCAGATTCCCAATTCTTTCCTCTGTAATCGTTTCAATGGGGCCAAATATTGGCCTTCCAATAATAAAATGACCTGGTGTTAATATATCCAAGTCGTCAATATCATTTGAAGCTGTATACAACGGCCGTGAATTCAGCACAGCTTCTATTTGACATAATAGGGTTGCCATTTCCTCATAGGTTAAATTATTGTCCCCAATCACTCTTTTTAAGTGATATTTTACTGATTTTACCCCAGCTTCCCAAATACCTCCAAAGTGAGGTCCTGCCGGGGGGATAAAGTGCCACTCGATCTGTTCTCTTTCTAATATTGGAACTACTTTAATATTGTCCTTAAGGGCTTTCTGGTATTCTTCGTCTAATTTGCGAGAAGCTCCCACAAAATTTGTTCCATTATCGGAAAAGATTTTTGCACATTTTCCTCTTCTTGAGAAAAATCTTCTAAGTGCAGCTAAAAAGGCATCTGCAGTTAGATCGCTGACAACTTCCAGATGAATAGCCTTTGTCGCCATGCACACAAATAGGGCAATATATCCTTTATAAGATTTCTGCCCACGGTTTCTAGAACATCGGATATGGTAAGGTCCGGCGAAGTCTACTCCTGTATTTGTGAATGGGTGCGACATCGTTGTTCTGTGTTTCGGCAGATTTCCCATAATTTGTTCTGCGGTATTCTGCCGATACCTAGCACAGGTAACACACTCTCTAAGCTTTTGCTTTAAGCAATTCCTTAGCCCAAATATCCAAAACTTTCGTTGGATGAAGTTTCGCATCAAATTAATTCCACCGTGCAATGTTTCTCTATGCGCGTTTTTGATAATTAAAGATGTTAAGTGACATTTATTTAAAATCAAAGGGTGTTTTACCCCAAATTCTGCGCTGGAGTTTTGTAACCTACCTCCAACTCGCAGTAACCCATCTCTATCTAAAAATGGATTCAATCCTAATATTTTACTTTTTATTTCTATTTCTTTTTTATTAGTTAGGCAAGTTATTTCTGAACTGAATTGTATTGCTTGTTGTTTTTTCAGTATTAATATTCTGGCGATCTTAATCTCGTTGACCGTCAAATATGGAGGGAATTCTTTATTATTTTTGGTTTTAATTTGAATAAATCTTAATATATATGCAACAACTCTTTCTAGTTTGTGCATGCATGAGTATTTCTCTAATAAATCATTAATAATGTTAGCTTTATCGTTTATAAACGTTGTGCTAACAACTTTATTTTCTTCAATCTCCTCTTTTGGCCAATTTTCCTTAGATTTAGCCAACCATTGAGGTCCCTTCCACCAAATTTCAAAATCTTTCAGCTTATCTGCACTAATGCCCCTTGACGCTACATCTGCTGGATTGTCTTCAGATTTGACATGTCTCCACCTAATTTCTTTTACGTTTCTAATGTCGTCAGTTCGACGCCTGATAAATTTATCTTTATTATTTCCATTCTTTATCCATGCCAGAGTAATCGTAGAATCACTCCATGCATAACTTTCTGCTTCACTTCCAACTGCTATTTTTACACGTTGAATTAATTTTGCTAGAAGATGAGCTGCACAAAGTTCTAACTTGGGAATAGTTTTCCGATTTTTCTTCGGATTAACTTTGCTTTTACTGGCTACTATAATTGAAGAACCATCTATCCTGGCATATACTACTGCAGCATAAGCTTTTTCGGATGCATCAGCAAACCCATGGATTTGCATCGGATTGCTGTGCTGAGAATTCAGCCATCTTGGTATCCGAATTCTCTCCAATTTTGTCAAATTATCTTTAAACGAATTCCATTCGCGAGTATCTTGGTCTGACAGTTCTTCATCCCAATCTTTGTCTGATAGCCAAAGTTTTTGCATAAACAATTTACCAACAATTGTGACTGGAGACAGCCAGCCTAAGGGGTCATACATCTTGGCCAATATAGATAACACTGTTCTCTTGTTAACTTTCTTAATTGGTTCATAATGGAAGTTGAACCTAAACTCGTCTTTAACTGGCTCCCATTGAAGCCCTAATGTTTTGACGGATTTATTCTCCTCAATACTTAAAACCTTATTCTCTTCGTTATCTATAACGGCTTCTATAATTTCTGGGACATTTGTTATCCACTTTTTTAAGTTAAATCCAACATTTTCAAACTCCCGGGTAACTTCATCTACATGCCTTTTAGCATCCAATATGGAATCGGCACCTGTCATCAGGTCGTCCATATAAAAATCATTCTTTATGATTTCACATATTTCTGCATTTTTGCAGCTATCTGCTATCGCAACCAACACCCTAGTAGCTAAGTAGGGTGCTGAAGCTGTACCGTACGTAACGGTTGTTAGCTTATACTCCTTCACTTTGTCGTTTGGAGTATCTCGCCAAATTATATGCAAATACTGTTGATCTTCTTCATCAACATTAATTTGCCGGTACATTTTTTCAATGTCCGCCGATACTACAAAAGGCCACTTACGCCATTTAACCATAATATCGAAGATATCTTTTTGGACTCTTGGTCCGACCCACATGATATCATTTAAACTCTTATTATTTGTAGTTTTTGCTGACGCATCAAAAACCACTCTGAGTTTTGTCGTTAGACTGGAATCTCTTATGACTCCTTGATGAGGTAAATAATATTTCCCCTCTTTTTTGGACTCTACCATGTGTCCTAAATTTTTATATTCATGCATGAATTTTTGATAATTTTCTTTTAATTTTATATTTTTGCTTAGTTTTCTTTCTAAGCTGTAAAATCGCGCCATGGCTTGTGCCTTTGAATCACCTAGATCCTTTTCTTTTTTAAAAGGTATTTTAACTACATACCTTCCATTCTCATCTCTCCTAGTGGTTTCCAAGAAATGCTTCTCACAAATCTCTTCTTCCACGTCATTGTCTTCGGTTTCCATTTCCCAGAAACGTTCTAAATCGCCAACTTCAATTGTTGTCGCCACGATCAATTTGTCACCTTTTGACTTGGTGCAACCGGATATGATCCAACCGAACTCTGTATTTTGACCAAGTAGTCCATCTATTTTAACTACTCCGTCTTTTACAATATGGGTATATAAATCTACCCCGATTATTACATCTACCCTACTTGGTTTATTAAAGTCAGGGTCTGCCAGCACATAATCTTTCCATTGAGATTTGTCAATATTGAAAGACTTTATTGGTAACGCTTTCATAAGTTTTGGGAGAATGATAGCTTCAATATTAAGCGGTTTTCTATGAGTTTTCACCGACAAAGTAACTTTATATTTTGAGGTGCAAGAGTCTGTCGATGACACGCCACTTACTTCGGTGTTTACTCTTTTTCGCGCCAGGTTTAAAATTTGCGCTGCTTCTTCGGAAATTATGGTACATTGCGACCCACAATCAATAAGAGCTCTAAAGTTTTCATAGCCACCATTCACCGCTCTTACTTTTATAAGTGCGGTGGCTAAAAACGCTTGTTTTTTTGTCAAACAAGTGTTAACAGTTTCCTTTTTGTCATAAGGAAGATGAAGCATCGTATGATGATACGGTTTTTTACAAATTCCACACAATATTTCTGAAGAACATTTTTTATACTTATCATGCCTACAGCACCTTTTGCATAGGCGCTCTTTTTGTATAAACTTATAGCAGTACAATATGGAGTGGCTTGCTGATTTGCATAACACACAATTTTCCTTATTGCTGCTATGTTGCACTACTTTTTTTAATGGTTTTTTCTCTTCATCCTGGGAAGAATAAAGAGAATTGTACCGTTGCTCTAAGAATTCCATAACATCTGGTAATGTTTGAATTTCTTTAGACCGTTTAATATGAGTTTCATATAACTGCAAGGTATTTCTACTAAACTTTCTCAAAATTATGTGCGCGAAAATCACATCAACTTCCTCTGTCAAATGTGACTTTAATTTAATAAGATGGATAGACTCATTAATAGAGTCAGAAAACATCTTTATTTGTTTTGCAGAATCGTTATCTAGCATTGGTAGATCTAGTATACGATTTAGCTGATCCGAAAATATTTTTCTTTTATTTTCGTACCGCTTGTTTAATAAATCCCAAGCGGCATTATAATTTTCTGCAGGACCTGTTAATAGGTGGGCCACCATTGTCCTTGCTTCACCTTTTAGCGCGAGTTTTAAATAATTAAACTTCAAAGATGTTTTCATATCATCTCTGTTATGGATTATGTCACAGTACAACTGTAAAAATCCGTCCCACTCTTTTTCTTCTCCAGAGAATGTGGGTACCTTTGCTTTTGGTAGAGCGGGAAAATCATCGTCTTCCCTTTTATTTGCTGTCCCATTACTAATGTTACCATTTGCATTACTTATGGCCTGCACCCTATCATCTAAGGTGTCTAATATACCCTGAATTTCGAATTCTAACTCGAAGATCTGCTCGTCAACGCTGGGGTTTGTAGCATAAGTCTTATAGTAATCCTCAACCTTCTGATTAAGTCTATTCGAGAGGAATTCTATGGTACTTTTCCTGCGCTGGCATTCAAGCAAGCCAGCCTGATCTACTCTCCTAGTAGTTTCTTCTATACAAGCTCTCAGCTGGGGTATATATTTGTCGAATTCCTCAACAATTTTTTCAAGACTATCGCTTATTCTTGGCTCTGTATCTCTCTTCAAAGTTCCAGTCCCTACTGGTCCTAACTTTGCCATTTCTACTTTCCTTTTTTTATAGGGCTCCAGTAGATTTTAATAGATCATACCTATTCTGTATGTCCTGAATGTTTTTTACAATTTTTTCAAATTGATTTTTCGTAAAGTAGTCATGATCGACTGCACCATAGGTTACTAAAGTAGCATGATTAGCTGTAACCTCATTTTTTAGCTCTCCTAGCCTTTGGATTACGTCACTGGTCAAATGACCAGCCTCAATCCTTCTTATCTCAGCTACTATCGCTGACTGTGCCTCCAACAACTGAATAATTTTTTCCGACAACATCTTGTACTTAATTAAGTTAAAATAGTTTTAAAAATAAAAATACGAGTATATCTGAACTTAGCTGATGAATCTTCTTCTGCTGTTTCTGTTACTGCTGCCGCTGCCGTCTCTTGTAGTTGCTAATGTCGCTGCTGCTGTAGTTAACGCTGCTGCCGTAGTTGCTGTCGCCGCTTCTGAATGGTGCGCTGTTGTTTCCGCTTCTGACGTCGCTGTTGTTGTAGTTGATGCTGCTGCTGTAGTTGACGCTGCTATAGTTTCCGCTGCTATAGTTGCGGCTGCTATAGTTATTGAAGCTGTTGTTGATGCAATAGTCAATACTGCTTGTTGGCACTGGCGTCGTTATTTTTTTGTCGTGGTTTTCTTTTTTAAACACACACAAAACAAATATTATTTTTTTTTTTTCAGTCACAGTTACTCTTTTTAAAAAAAATTTTATTTTTTTTATTTTTGGCTGCTTGGTTTTTCTTTCCAATTTGCTAACCCCCACTTCACTTTGTACTTTTGATGTTGCTGGATTTTATTTTCACTTTCGATGTTTCGGCCTCGAACACGCCCCCGCCGCGTATTTCTTTACACGACTACAATATAAATTATATTGTAAGAATTCAAAAATACTGCCTGTATAGCACGTATTTTATCGAATTTATTTGAAACTTCTGTTTCATTAATTTTTTATACTCGGTTTCTTACTACAAAAGGGAAACCCGAGTTTATTATTTCGCAACTTTTGGAGCTACAGTGGTACCAGACAGTGGTGCTGCAGTCTTTAAGGAGCTGGTTTAACTCCGTGCTCTTACCACAGGGGGGAAACAACGGGAGAGTCTCGAAGGACCAAAATGTTAAGACCTTAAGAAAAGTCTAGACATTTGCGAGTTGAGTTGTAAATTCAAACTAAATTTTATTCTTAAAATCAGAGCCTTATATCAGTTTACAAACAATGTATGTGGTACAATTGATATTCTATTCTTATCGCTAGACCCA